TTCTGAATTAATGCACGCGACGCTCACTCTCTCTCCTCTCTCTCTCTCTCTCTCTCTCTCTCTGATTTCTATAAGTCTATTTAGTGTTCTTCCTCTTCTCTCTTTTCCCTTCAGCTTCCTCTCAGTCTGCCTGGGCTTTCTACTCTTCCTTCTTCTCCTCTTACCCCTTGGTCCGGTTTGTGAAGTATCATCGTCGTATGAGTGACTAGTTGTCTATGGGAATTGCTTTGAATGATGTGTACGCGTGAAAATCATCTGAATCGTTTAACGCTCTTGTTCCATTTAATAGTCTTGTTCCGATTTTTTATACTCTATAACTCTATATAAAGCCACGATTACGTTATATCAATGTAAAGGATTCTAATTAGATTCGCGGTCATTTTCATTTTTTAAATATAATCAGATTAACTAATAATCTGAGGTACGTTCAATAATTCGATGATACAAGCCAAAGAAATATTATAGAATTATTAAAATATATTATTCATAGAAACATTTTTCTATGAGAAAAAAATTAAAGAATTTTTTTTACGAGTATTTTTTCGAACGACAGTAAGTAGTCAATCGTGCGTTTAAAACGACGCGTCTATGAGAAACTCTTTAACGAGGTACTGCCGGCCGCGGTAATCAATACACCGGGCACATGTTCCAGTCAACTGTCGTTAGCCGCGGTCTTCGTCCGCCGAGCACACAGGTCGTATATACATATATATATATATATATATATATATCTCCCGTTTCCGTTTAACCAACTGCAGTCTCTCCGCCGCATTGTAGTTACAACACTGCTCAGTCTCGCGGGCGACACGATATTAATGAATCGCCCACGTGCTCGCAATCACCGTGCTCGTAACTCTCCCCGCTGCGTTGCGCGTGCACGCGTTTCCTTGCTGCGAAACGAAACGACATCAACATCAGATGACAAGGAGCTCGCGGCCACAACCGGGACAGACGGATGACGTTTCTAGGAAGAGCAGAATGGTCATTGAGAGGACATGGCATTTACAATCGGTCGATTTAAATTCTAACAACAAGAGGAATTGTTAGTCTGCCTAGGAATGATCTTTCCGGAAGGGAAAAAATGATTCTTTTGATCAGCATTGTTGCACTCCAAATCCAAACGTATAACAAGTGATTTCGTATACATGTGTGATTTAATTTTTCTGTATAAAAATAACACTTACGTTACATGTTTAAATACGTAAATCCATTTTTTGTATGCAGTATAGTATGTTATTTTTAATGTTATTGCTAAATCATGTACCATACATATATGAACTTATTTATTATATACTTGGATTTGCAGTTGAGAGATAAGATATGCTTAGATCCACGAAGGAAATTGCAACATATATCTATTTCTACCATTAAGTTTAATCTTGGTTCAACATACTTTTTATCCTCTCCTAGTTCTAAGAAAAAGATAAAAGAATACATTAAACCGAGATTAAAGTTAATCTACATTGTTAGAAACGGGCATTAGAAAAAGATAAAGAGTAAATTGAACCGAGATTAAAGTTAATTTTACATTGGTAGAACCGGGCCTTAATGGATGAAGAACCGAGTGTTTAACATCGACATCGAGAGGCAGGCACCTCGGGCGCACGAACGCGGTGGATGCAATCGCGAAAGAGAGAGGGACCAACCGACCGACCAACCAACCGATCGCTCGCTCGCTCGCAGTTGTGCATTATTGGCATTATCGTACATTACGCCCGTGGAATTTACTCGGCGCGCGTGTCGGAGCCGCTCGCGGAACTGTTGCTGCGAGGCTCGCGACTTATGAATATGCAGCATCACGTGCGCGCGTCACGTACACGACGCACGTGTGCGTGTTCTTGTTAAATATAGCCGATATCGCAGGATATAAAGAGTTGAGGGATGTAAACGGTAGGATCTTCGTGAACGAGACAGGAGTACTTTTTACACGCGACTGTCGGCATCCGTCGATCGATTTTTCGCGGCGATTATATACTTGCCACGCTCTGACGGAAATTCTTTTTTTATTCGCGTTACATGAGGGAATTGTTCGCAGGAAGGACACAAAGGATGACGAGACATCGACGACGAACGGCGTGAAGCCACCGGAAGACGACGACGACGAGTGGCAAGTTGCTACGGGTAGGTATTACACGCTCTTTTTATTCTTGTGCTTTGCATCAACCGCCCGATTTGTCTCGTACAGGTAAAAGACGCAAGAAACGCAAGGAGCAAACGACTACCGTCGTAGCCAGCAAGAAAGCTTTCGAGGAAAACGACGCTTGGAACTAACTGTGGTGTTCCGGGGAACGTCACGTTGAGCGGCACGAAATGCAGCATGATATGCATCGATTGCATATACACAATACGTAACACAACAGCGCCAAAACGTGCCGAATAAAAAGAAAAAAAATTCTTTGATTCACTGACCTCCATTGATAATCACTAAATGAATGTCAATACGTGTAACATTATCGTGATACATATTTATAGATATGTATAAATCCTTAATAAATCCTTCTTTCTGATAACATCTGAGCGCATTTTTATCTATGGGTTAACGTAACACCATGGCATGTTGCTAGATTTACATTACTATTTAAAAATCTATTGCTTATTTTACATGTGTTTATACAGGGTGTCCCGTAAGTTTGGGCCAATCGCTTTTGTGTAGATAGAGCGGGCTAAACCGAGTCGAAAAGTTCTCTAACATTTTGTAATTTTCGTAATAGTTAACTAGATATTAATTACTGAAAATTGCCAAATATTGGTCTTGAATAATTTTTTACTCAAATATCAATTTTACAGAAAAATTGCAAGAGACAAAAAATCATTAATTTTATTCTCATATAACTCTACGAATTTTTTCAGAATTTTTTATCAACTTTTTAGTACTGCATTTTCTTATTTTTACCAACATGAGAAAATACGGTATTAAAAAATTCCGA